GACGTATCTATGAAAACTTGAAAATCTTGAAAATTAGCGGTCCAAAAATGCATTACAAAAAACACTATTTTTGAAACATGAAATCGATTTTTTTCTTATGTCCATGCATCTTGATGTTGAGATGATCAATTTGATGATATTTGGGCATCAAAACAACTTCTTCTAGTGAAAATTTTGAGGTAGGCTAAAATTTGATTGTTTGGAGCCTCGGCTCTATATAAAATTTTCCCATATATATATATATATATATGTTTGACACCTTAAAATGAGGTTCACCTCTAAAATCATTAGAAAAAATATTAGTTTGATGTTGCAAAAATATTTAAGTGATCATCCCGACATCAAGATGTATAGATATGGAAAAAAAAAAGAGATTTTAAATCCTAAAAATAGTCTTGTAACACATTATCCGAACTATCAATTTTTAAGGTTTTCATGTGTTTATAAATCTCCTTGATTTGAACTATTTTTAAAACTCAAAATTTTATAATTAGAGATAAAAATAGATTATTACACCATCTAAAGAATTTTCAATACCAAAATTGCACCTACAATGAAGTATGAGGGTGCACCTTAATTTTTCTCTTTAAAGATGCAAACTTAGGTCTAATAAAAAATCACGGTAGAGAGAGAAAGAGAGAGATTCTCTCTGGGAAGTTCTTAGCTAGAAGAGAGAGATTCTCTAAACGCTCTATATATACAAGAATTCAAGGTTTATCCGTTTTGGAGTTCATAATTTATGGGTACATGACTACTGCACAAGAAACAACTTTGTATTATTAATTTTCAAGCTAACAAACATTTCACCACTTTTGTCCCTAGCAAAATTACACATCATAAAAGACAAATAACCATATGCATAAAAAATGACTAAAATGCCCCTCAACGTACCTGCCCAATGTGTTGGTGGTACCTTCCAACCGTACCTTGCTTACCATACCAAAGCGCCAGAAGAACCAAACGCGGGAAAATTATAAAAAAAACCCAATATATCCTATTTTTGAAACTTACCTCCTTTCAAATTTGTTCTCTCCCTCTTTTTTCTCCTAACAATTTTTCTTCCCTGGAGTTAAAAGTTGTTATCTTTTGGATGGAGATGTTTTTCCTATACAAAAGAAATTAATTGGCGCTATCGGTCTCAAGTGGCGTATTGTCAGAGCGTAGTATACAACTGCTAGAGCGAATTGTCTAGAGCATACTGTCGGAGCACAAATGTATCGAGCGTCGGAACGCTTTGTAAGGATTGTCGGCAGCGCGTATGTATCGAGCGCCAAACGCTTTGTAAGGATTGTCGGATCGTTGTACGCACTACTGAAGCGCGTTCATATACTGCTGAAGCGTTGAATACACTATCGGAGTGCACTATTACACTGCCGAAGCACTATGGCTCCAGAACCTATATTGCAGGAGTGCCTTTGTAGACTACCGGAGTGAAATGTCTCTAGAAAGTGTACCACCGGAGCATGTTCATATACTGCTAGAGCAATAAACACGCTGCCGGCGCGCCCTATTATATTGCCAGAGCACTGTGGCTCCAGAGCATATATTGCCTGAGCTTGTCGTCTCCAAAAACTATACTACCGGAGCACCTTTTTGTACTGTCGGAGCACACTGGGTAAATTAAAAAATGGGAAACATGAGAGAGAAGGATGTGTGAAAAAAAAAAGATAGTTTAGTCTTTTTCCTTAGTCTTTTTGGGTTGGGGGGTTTTTGGCGAAGAAAGGTGGTTGTGGAGAAAAAGTGAGAGAAAAAGCTAAGATGGGGGTAAGTTGCATAGATAGTGTATATTAGGGAGTTTTTTATAAACTTTATAACATTTTTTTTTTCTTTTCATTTTTATTTATTTATTTATTTATTTTTGGGTAATTCAGTGGAAGACAAGCCTCTACTCATTTTTTCAATAGATCAAGAAGTTACGTTTTGAAAGTGTTAATTGGGGGTGACTTGTTTTTTAATAGATTCAGGAGTTACATTTTGAAGGTGTCAATTAGGGGTGTCAGCTGTAGAGACATGATACAACTATGTGGTAAGGAATTGTATACCATAAGACCATCTGTTGTGGTACTAGCCATTAGATGACAAATTGGATGGCTTAGAGTGTCACAAATTTTGAGAATTTTTTTTTGAATTTGGAGTTCGGTCAATTATACGTTAACAATCATCCGATTTGAAATTTGATCGACAAAAGTGACTGGGACCTCTTTGTATTAAAAATAAATGGTTTATTTGTATACTTTATTTATAGATAAAGCTGATCTATAAACATTTGAAAACGTTAAAAATAGATGATCCAAATAACTTACTACAAGATTCACTAATTTTAAAATATAAAATTCATTTTTTTCATGTAATAAATGATTAATTGGAGAGTTTTCCATTGCGAGTATTCTGACGATTTTTGAGGTGCACCTTATTTCAATAGTAGAAAGGAGACACCTTATATGAACCTCTTGTCCTCTAAAATTCACATAACACGAGATAAAGAAAGTATCGACCTTTAATAAGGCATACTAAAGATATTCCCAAGAGGAAACACCGTACTGTCAATTGAAATTTCAAAGAGGGGAACCAAAAATTCGGCTAAAACGAAATTTAGGTCTAGTATATATATTTCGGTAACAAAAACGTGATGCATTTCTGTCTACATAGGGAAGTTCCTTTTTTGGTAGCGTAGGTTGAAATTAAGCTCGAAAGTTTCGGCAAATCAAAATATCATTGAAATGATGTTGAAAGTTCGCCGAAATGAAAAATTTGCACACCGACGAAATCTGGCCGTTAAGATATTGGGACAATGTCTGAGTTGGGGGTAGTTTCGGTATATGGAAAATATTATCTCTCTAAATTGGGAAGACCGTTTTTATTTGCGTGCCAAAGGATGGGAGTTGAGTGGGTGTCGGGATAGAGAGAGAAAGCGAGTAGTTGTTCAGCTCCCCCTCCCTCTCCTCTCATTTTGTGTGCTTCTCTGACACTAGAATCAGGCAGCAGCGATTTGGAATTGAGGCCCGCTGATCTCTTCCTTCATGTTTTATCTGTTCTCTCTCTCTAAAAAACAAACCCCCCATCTCTCTCATTCCACGCTTTCTTCATCATTATTCACATGAAGCCCAGCTCTGCAACTCCCATGTCTTTTCTCATCTTCTTCTTCGTCTTCCTGTTCTTCCCTTCTGCTTCTCTCTCCTTTGAACCCCTCAACCATGAAGGTAAAGTCTTTTACTCTCTGTTCTTTTTCTTCAATGGTGCTTTGCCTGTTCGTGGTGCTGCTAACCAATTACAAAAAGAAGGTGAAATATCTCTCTCTAAAAATAGTGAAATGTGTTTTTCTCACTCACTGTTGTTTTGGTTTTTGTTACTCTGGTTCACAGTTGAGGCTCTAATTAGTATCAGAAGAGAACTGATTGATCCTCATGGGATCTTAAGTAATTGGGATGAAAACTCAGTGGATCCTTGTAGCTGGACCATGATCACTTGCTCGCCTGAAAATCTGGTCATTGGCCTGTAAGCCTCCTCCTCCTCTCTCTCTCTCTCTCTCTCTCATTTGATCCATTTCCTCATTTACTCTCATTTGTTTGTGCAGCTCTCTTTCTCTCTCCCTCTCTTTCTCTCTGTAAATGATCATTTCCTCAACCTATGTTACTTGTCTGCAGAGGAGCTCCAAGCCAGAACTTGTCAGGAACTCTCTCTCCAAAAATCGGAAACCTCACAAACCTCCAGCAAGTGTGAGCATAAATAAACTGTCTATTTTTTTACCTCTTTATTTCAAGTTCTTTTACCATTTCTTAATGTGGGTCTAGTTTTTCTCTCTTAATTTGCCATTGTTTTTCTCTCTCTGGAAAAATTTGCAGGTTGTTGCAGAACAATAATATCTCGGGATGGATACCACTAGAGCTTGGGAAGCTTCCCCACCTTCAAACGCTTGATTTATCAAATAATAAGTTGACTGGTGCAGTTCCAGAGTCTCTTGGTCAGTTGAATAGCCTTGAATATCTGTAAGTTTTTACCCTTTCTTCCTTTTTTCCTCATAATACTTTTTTCATTTTTTGTATTCTGGGTTCTCTCTCCCTAGCATATGCTTTTCTTGTCTCTCTCTCTAAGTGTGTATGGTCTCTCCGTTCATTTTGTTTTCTATGCTCTCGCTAAACAGGAGGCTAAACAACAACAGTTTATTTGGGGTTTTTCCTGCATCTCTTGCTAAACTCCCTCGCCTTGCTTTCCTGTAAGTGCACAAATTTGCTGAAATATTACCCACTTCTCTGAATATATTATTATGAGGTTCTGATTTTATATTTTTATTTTCTGTTTATTTTGTTGTTTTATCATTCTTTAGGGACCTGTCTTACAATAATTTGACTGCACCAGTGCCCAGGTTCCCTGCTAAAACATTCAAGTGAGCATCTCTCTCTCTCTCTCTCTCTACCTTACCTTGTTTTGTTTTCTATTCTCTCTCTAAGTTTTCTATTCATATTTCATACAATATATTTGATTGCTTATGGTCATTTCTTGACAATAAACTGACAAATTGAGAACATGGAAAATCTGTCAAAGCAAAAGTGAGTGAGAAAATCGTAGCTACAGGCATTGATTTTTGTAATTTTGTTTCTCTCTCTTGGATGGGTTTGTTTGTTTATTATTTGTGTTGTTTCTCTCTCTAGCATCGTGGGGAATCCTCTGATATGCGGTACTGGAAGTACTCAAGATTGCTCTGGAACTGCAGCACCGGCCGTTCCCTTTCTCCCACTAAACACATCGTCAAGTACTCTCTCTCTCTCTAACACTAATTTTTCGTTTTCTCTCTCTAACGCCTCCCTCTTTCCTCTCTATAAAAGAAAAAAAGAATCGTTTGTTTTTTTTGGTATTCGTCCTCTCCCTCATGGAAAAAGGACTGTTGAAATGAACAGTTACCTTCTCTCTCTAAAAGAAATAGAATTGTTTTTTTAATATTTTCTCTCAGATTCTCTCTCTACAGGGAAAAGGATTGTGTTTTGTGTTTGCTGCTTTTTATAAAAGATTATTCTACTGCGAGAGTGAGTGTTTATCCGTTTCTCAGTCATGGTTTCACTTTATCAGGAAAGTCGAGGACCCACAAAGTAGCCATTGCTTTGGGAGCAGGCTTTGGATGTACCTCTCTGTTGATATTGGGACTCAGCTTATTTCTCTGGTGGAAATACAAGCTCCACAAGCAAATCATCCAACATGAAACCGGTTTGTGAATAATTAAACCAACCCCAAATCTCTCTTTCTCTCTCTAAAAAAACCAACCCCAACACACTCTTTCTCTCTCTTCAATGAAAAACTACGAACCCACAACACACATACTCTCTCTCTCATCAATGAAAACTCTTTCTCTCTCATCAATGAAAAGATCTCTACTCTCTTTGGAGAGAGAGAGCTTGGCATTTCAAAACTAAGTGTATTGTGATTTTGCTTTTCTCTCTCTCTAGACCACTCCGAAGGCGAAGAAATATGTCTGGGAAACCTGAAAAGATTCAGTTTCAGAGAACTGCAAACTGCCACTGGTAACTTCAATCCAAAGAACATCTTAGGCAAAGGAGGGTTCGGCAACGTCTACAAGGGCTACTTATCGGACGGCCGAGTCGTGGCCGTGAAACGCCTGAAAGACGGTAGCGCAGCCGGCGGGGAGGCGCAGTTCCAGACGGAGTTGGAAATGATCAGCCTCGCCGTGCACAGGAACCTGTTGAGGCTTTTGGGTTTCTGCGCGACTTCGAGTGAGAGGCTTCTTGTTTACCCTTTCATGGCTAATGGGAGCGTGGCTTCTCGTCTCAGAGGTAAGAATTACCAAAATGCCCTTTATTTTTTTTATTAATTATTTTTAAGGAGATTTATTGAAATATGCATGAGAGATTAACTATTTTAACATTTTACACGATTTGGAATAGCTAAAAAAAGGTTAAATTGTTAAATTATAGAAATTTATGTGTATTTGGTAATTTCCCTTTATATTTTTAAGAACTTGTTTTTTAGAAAGATATTTTTAAGAACTTGTTCATGTTTTGCTTTGATTACGGTCCTAAGTTTTGCTCAATTTCAATCGAATTTTAATTTTGCCCCTTCCATTTGGCATAAATTGGTGAATTTGTTTCTTAAAACTTGGCGATCTGGATGGGAATCGATGATCTAGATTGAGAATTAGCCAGGACTGAAGCGCCTGGTTCCCCACCTAAAATTCCACCTTTTAATTTTTTTTTTCTTTTTAAGCTTATTTTATACTTTCTTATGTCCCCCTAAATCTCTACCCCATAATTTTTTTTAAAATTTTACTATTATTAATTTTTTAATTGTAAATTTTTTCTAGATCACTGATTTAGATGGATCATGATAGTCAATCTAGTGATCTGATACAGATATGTGGGATGTACGATCCAACCCACTGACCCGTGTTTGCATAATTGATCAAAATTGATCCAATTCAACTAGTAAAACTTTTAGCCTGAAATGATTCGGCAAAAGTATCCTTGAGGTCAGAAATTTTTGTCATTTGTAAAGTTCAGGATATATGAAAGTTAACTGTTTCTCAAAAAATAAATAAAAAGGATATATGAATAAATTTAGAGAAACTTAAACTCAATTTCTTTTAAACAGAAAAATAAAATAAAATTTTGGAGAAATTTTGGACGAAAATCCTGCCATTTTATCTTGGCTGAGAGGGACATAACAAAGGTTGGTTGTGAAAGAGATTGGATGTCCTGGTCAAATAGTATCAGAGTGCTTTTGTCATCATCCTTTTAGACAGTCCTTGGAGTACACTGTGATGCTGACCCAACCATGAAAATGCCATTCTAAGAGAAACCTATTTTAGCCAAATGCCAAAGCACATCTTAGGATATATTTTATCTAAAATCTTAACTCTTCCAAATTTAGCTAGCAAATATCCAGCTTAAATAGTACTAAAGCCCACCTAGTTTCAAAAGAAAATAATGGAATATCTATTATATATCTATATATATAAAGATATGTTATGTTTATATTATACATGTTATTAATATATATTTATATTATATTACATTCTGTTATATTATATATAAAATATTGGAAAATAAAATCCTGAGATAATAAATAATTATTTTGAGTAAGAAATAAAAAGATATTAAGAAAGAAATCCCCAAGGAGACACCTGATGTAGATGTTTTAGATGAAGCCTCATTTATAGGTGCATGGGAGGTGCGTAAATCTTGAAAAAATTGAGCATATTAGGAAAATACTAAGTATTTTTAAACTCTAGGATCAAGGATTGGCCCTCCCCTTCTAGATCGGTGATAATTGATCTGGATTGGTTGATTCTTTGGGTCAAAACCAAAAAATAGAATATTAAGAAATGAAAATACTAAATAAAAAAGAATCAAATTTAATGATTCACTGATTTGAGTCAGTGATTCCCAATTTGAGTCGCCTCGTTCATTGACACTGCCAGGCGATTATGTTCAAATTGAGATGATTTCTTATTCACAGAGATAATTGTCGTTGGTTCCTATCTATCATGATTGGTGATTCTTTATCTGGATCAATAATTTTTAAAACCCCATCATCATCTATTATGGTGTTAAGCACCCCATCATCATCTATTATGGTGTTAAGCCGAGGGAAAATTGTAAGCAAGTTAAGTGGATTAGCTATGGTTTTCTTTTTGAGCCCTGCAAGGTGCGTAATACATGGACCCATTAGCTAATGCGAAGAATCATTAGAAAACCATGCGCATGAGTAAAATCATCCTATGGTCATGAGTGATCATCCCCTACTTGTGTTGACAATCGTTGACTATTGCAAAACCATGTCTGAATTATGGGAGAGTGAGGCTAACCACCAAGATTTGCACAGTGATAAAATCAGAATTTTGAGAAAAAATTAGGAGTTTGATACACCTCGTAAAAATGTGTTATATCTTTTTTGGTCATTCGTTTCATCTATTATTTAAAAAATCTGCGAATTGCTAATGGGTTGCGAATCGCTAATCCAAATCAGGATTCAGTCCGGTTCTCTTGGAATTTCCTAGTTCTATTTGGAAATTGGGCAATTTCATCAGTGAACCGAGGGATGTGGATTGTCCTTATCGCCTAGTTCCTCCACATATATTTTTTATTTTATTTTTTTATTTGACTGTTTTTTGGGACCGATTCACAAATTAGACAATTTGTTCGATTTTCGGGGATTTGAAACGGATTTTGGGATGATCGGTTCTTGGGCTGACCTGGATTCTTCACTCCCGTGAACCTAGCGATCATTGTGTCAGTCATTCTCGACCATCTGATTCTTCACCCAAAAGACATCAGTCAGATATGGAGCAAAGTGTAATCAAGGGACAAAATCAAATTGAAGGGCATGTGTATGGTATCATGACCAACAAATTGGTATTTTTCTGTACGTGCACATGACCAGGCTTTGGAAAAGAGAACTGCCTCTAAAATGCCCTTTGTTTTCACAAAATTTCTATACTACCGCCATCTCTCTAAATACTAGCGTTTTAAAAACGGCGAACTGGAACCGGCAATTTGGATCGGGAAGTGGTGGGAATGGTCTGATTCCATTAAAATATCAGGAACCGGTTCCACTTTTTTATTTTTTTTCAATTTTATTTGTTCTCAAATTTTTTTTTTAATTTTTTTTTATTGGCCGAATCCAGATGGGTGATCCAGCTCACCAATTCCATGTTTTTAAACTCTGCTAAATACTACATAGCTTGATGTCGTGGTATTCTTCCTTAGATTATTATGCACAAGACACACATGGAAGGTATGGAGTTATATATCAAAAAAGAACAAAAAAACTGCATATTGCTTGAACACTATGACCCATATGACTGATACTAAAGAAATTAACACAATGACATACAATACCATTGATACGATTAATACAAAAGAATCAAGTGACATTGGTTGAATTTTGTTGTAGGGAAACCAGCATTAGACTGGAATACAAGGAAGAGGATAGCTCTTGGGGCAGCTAGAGGACTTCTATATTTGCATGAACAATGTGACCCTAAAATAATCCATAGAGATGTGAAGGCAGCAAACATTCTTTTGGATGAGTATTGTGAAGCAGTTGTTGGTGATTTTGGGCTTGCAAAGCTTCTAGATCACCAGGATTCTCATGTAACAACTGCAGTGAGAGGGACTGTCGGTCACATTGCACCCGAGTATTTATCGACTGGTCAATCTTCGGAAAAAACTGATGTTTTCGGGTTTGGGATCTTGCTCTTGGAGCTTATTACTGGACAGAGGGCACTGGATTTTGGGAAGGCGGCGAATCAGAAAGGCGCCATGCTTGATTGGGTATGCATGCATTGCTTTCATTTCGAATTATCTGAGAGAGAGGGAGATTTGTGCATAGAGAATGATTCCTCCTTTTACCTTGAGATAGAGAGAGGTAGAAAGGATATGTATGCCATTCATGAGTTTGAGTGTTGTGTGTGTGTGTGTGTGTGAGAGAGAGAGAGAGGGGGAGGGTGGATAGATTCATGAAGAATGATTCCTGCTGTGGCCATGTTGGGGGAAAGGCTTTGGTGGAGAAAGAATGATTCCTCCTATTTGCCAATTTGCGTAATAGCTTTTCCCATTCTTTAACAAAAAAAATAACTTTTCCTTTATGGAGTTATAACGTGGTTTTTTGGGGACCATTCTCCTTTTGGTGGCCTTCTCTTTCAGGGGAGAGAGAGATGTAAAATTAAAGTTGAATATTTTGGTTAGCTACATGATGGTAGTCCTCCTTATTGATGGGAAAGAAATTTTATATGCTAGTCCTCTTATCTTAAATAACCATGTAATATAGAGCTGCCATGTATTATGGAGTAGCTATTATAGAGCTACTCCATAGAGTACAACTTTATATAGTAAATTTTTATGCTAGTCCTCTTATCTCATATAACCATGTATTATGGAGAAGTTATTATAGTGCTACTCCATAGAGTACAATACAAGAAGTTTGTGCTCATAGTGCTCATGCTATTTTTATGTTGAGACCATAATGCCCCTGGACCATGGAATTTGCAGGTGAAGAAAGTACACCAAGAAAAGAAGCTTGATCTTTTAGTTGATAAGGAGCTTAGAGTTGGTGGCTATGACCATATAGAGGTGGGTGAGATGGTCAAAGTGGCCCTTTTATGTACTCAGTTTTTGCCCACACATCGCCCTAAAATGGCCGAAGTGGTCCGCATGCTACAAGGTGATGGCTTAGCTGATAAGTGGGAGCCTGGAAAACTCAACAGCAACAACCATGGCATGCATCATGACCATAATTCCATGCCCATAGTGGTGACAATTCACCATGGCTGTGACCATGATGATGATGATTATGGTGGTGGTGGTGATGGTGATGGCGATTCTTCATCACTCGATGTGGAGAACATGGAGCTCTCGGGTCCCAGATGAACTTGGTTTGGGACTGAGAGAGAGGAAGTGGTAGAATAATTCTTGCTAACCGGTGATTCTTTCTTTTTTGATGATTTTTGTTTACCTTTCTTCTCCTTCAATTGGGAGGTGTAGTGTATAAAAACTAATATCCGGTTTGTTATGTTCTAATCTGTATAGTTTTGATGAGAATTTTCTGAATTTTGATGTTATTTGAGAGGCTTTTTATCTAGTTTAAAACAGTGGCGAGCTGGTTGGGCATTGCCTGAGCCGGCTCAGAACATGGCCCCATCCAGGTCCCATTCTGGATGGCTCTAAACCAAAGAGTCACTCAGGTTGCCCAAAACCACGTGTTTTTTTTTGGGTATTTCATAGGGATGGGATGGGATGGGATGACTGGCCCCTACTCATATTTAAATAAATTAGTGGTTTTTGAAGCTGTCAGTTAGGGTGGAAGCCACAAAAGCCTCCATGTTAGCTCCATCCCTGAATTTCAGGCCATTTTTCTTGTGATTTTTCTTTTCTTTCACCAGGTGACTCCTAAGGGCCGAAATTCGCAAGCCCACTCAAGAGTGGGCAATCTCAATCGGATCACCAGGTTCCGACATGGAACCTGATTCTTCTTTTTTTGTTTTTGGGAATTTCTTGATGGGATAGAAGGGAAAAGACCTAGCGCCTAGTTGGTTTTAGCGGTGTGGAGATCCAATATGACGTTTTGGGTTCTATTCCTATCTTATTAGTTAGGGTAGTGGGTTGGGCCTCGGCCAAGTTAGCTTGAGCATGACCTTAAGAAACAAGATCAGGCTTAGCCCAAACCTGGCCAAATCCTCAGGCCATAATTTGGGCCCAAGCTCTAATTTTATAGGCCCAACGGTACATTGCCTGCCCTCCTGATAACATTCATGGAGATCTAGTTTTATAAACAAATGGTTGATCTCTACCATCAATTGTTTGGATGGACAGTGGACATGATTGTTACCTTTGCACACTATACGCATTTTTTTTTGTATGGTTCCACTCCCATTTGGCAAGAGCGAATTTGAAGTCAACCTCAGCGAAGATCTCCACGATCAAACCTCCGATCCAGAACATCGCAGCCGTTCATTCCCAAGCTTCCAAAGCTGATATTCTATATTAAATGCGCAGATTTAATAATACCAAATTAAATACCCCTGAAGATGCAGAGGTTTACAAAAAATCAGTTAAAGACTTCCCAAAATGGATAATTTTTCCTGTATAAATAAGCAGCATTGATGAGGAGGTGAAGGTTCTTAATTTCTTATGAGGTTTGCTTTTTGCGCTGAAACATATACAGGTTTACTTCATGGAAGAGAAAGCTTCCATTAATGAGACACTTTTTCTTTAATGGATCACCTTCCATTTTTGGCAATCATAAGCTTTAATGGCACTTCTCATTTGAAGAAAGGTGCCTGGTCAAAGGCACAGCACGCTCCATCGTTTTCACTTGTTGCAGAGAAAGACGTGAGCCCTGCCTGCAAGCAGAGGGTTGCACTCTTGCCAACGCTTTCTCTCTCTATCTCTTTTCTCTCTCCTCTTTTTCTCTCTCTCCCCTTTTTCTCTCCTATCTCTCTCTTCTGTTTTCTCTCTCTCCTCTCCCTCTTTTTATGCGTGACCACGGTTAGTGCTACTCAATGGACAATGGTTTTCATAAAGGGAAAGCCTTCTGGGTACTGCTGGATATAGGAAATTTGTATATACCACCCTTATGCTTTTTGTTGATTTAAGTGGACGGCTGAGATGACTTCACATATCTAAAAATTATTTTATTTATAATTTTTTTACAAATTATATTGACATCAAATTTGGGCGTCCAATCCTCTCAGAATCCCTCTACAATAAATATTAAAAAATACTTTTGAGAAAATAAAATGATAAAAATGCCTCCGTAAATTTTAAAGGCAGTTTTGTTATTTTATTTTCATGAAAACATTTTTTAAAGCTGCACCCTCATTGAGATGATCACGCTCACTAAATTTCATATTTATTTGATTTGTAGAAAAAATTAAAATTAAAATACTTTGAGCTGTCAGATCTAGATCAAAAGGTCAAGGCTCACTTGTGACATTACGGCTGAAGGTGTCCCAACCATTCATTCATATCCAACGATTTGGTATACAAATTTCCTATGCAAGAAAGGGATGATACAATAAAGCCCCCCTTTTTGAAGTAGTATACTCGCGAGCAGCTTTTTTTTTTTTAAGGCCCACCTCTAAAATTTGCTTAGAAATAGTAAATAAAAAAGTAATTGAAAATCTCGAAAATAGATGGTCCAAATGACTTGTTATGAGATGCACTATTTTTTAGACTTGAATTTTTTTTTTTTTTCTCTATATCCATATATCTCGAGATCGAGATAATCAAGAGATCTCCAATACCATAACCAGACATTCTCTTGCTTTTAGAAATAATGTGAGAATGCCCCAATCTTCACATTTTTATGTTGCAAGGTTAGAGTGCAAGCCATCAAATTAGTGAGGGTTTTCGTCTAGTCAGAACCGGTGTAATTATTTGTTGAAATATTAGATTAAATTTAAAATTTAAAAATATGAATAATAGTTTAAAAATATAAAAGATATTAGAAAAAAAATTACCCAATTTTATTTGGAAGTTAAATTGAGTAGTTGGACCAGCCAAAATTAGCTAAACATTTGTTTTGACTTGTATTTTTTTTATCAAAATATGATTTCTACTTTGGATCAGTCTAACCATGACACCAATCGACAAAGTAACCAGACAATCCAATCCAGTCTTGATAACATGCTTGTATGTGGACTAGTATAGAAATGCCACTTGGTTTTAGAGGTATAACATGAATGTACTCTTTTATCTTTGTACAAAGACAACACGATTACTGGTACTGATTAAATGTCAATTCTGACAGCTGGGTTGTGGCATCAATGGGCCGAAAGTCCTCATAAAATTTTATTGGACTTTATTTAACACTCTCATGCTATTGGATTTCAAATTTGATGGCTAAAAGTGATTGTATACAGTAAAATGGAATATGGTTTTGCTGAATGTGAGATCAGATCTAATTCCACATGTTTAAATTGGTTAGTGCGGACAACATTTATAGTGCGGACTCACAGGAGGAAGTTGAGGGCCTAACAGTACAAATAGATCCCTTAGGTAATGCTTGGGTGAAAGACCTATGAAAAAAAAAAAGCCAAAAATATGTGAAATAATGGCAATGTATATTTTGTTAAAAACATTTTCAATAGGTGAATATAATATCCTGCTTAATACTGTATAATCCTTGGGTGAGAGATGCACCGTCCAATAATTGGGGACATGGATGATCTTGCTTAATGAAGGAATGATATTTATTTATATTGTGTTCAAGGTGCCCTTGATCATAAGAGGAGCATAATACTTGGGAGGCTAATGTGAAATGTAAATTTCTTTGTGTATGAAGACTGTCTTCAATTCTATTGAGACTCTCGAGAGATCGGGACCAAAGAATTAGAATATAGACTTGTTGTTGAGCATATTGATGATTTGTAAATTGCCTTATAAGAGTAAAGTTAATGGTCATAAATGAGAAAAACAATGTCAAGTAAAAATTATATACACAGTTACGCACCAAGCAAGTCCAACAGCTAAAGATTACAAGCAAAACAAAAGATTGTTGATTCAGTTTCTCTTTTTATTTTAGTTTTATAATTTCCTATTTGAATTCTAATGTTCATATTGCGAACGGGGAATCTGAATTGCAAGATTCACTTCATAGGTGAACAATTAAGTGAAGCGAACTAGCTGAACATATAATTGAAGGAATCTTTGTGTGGCTTAAAATGTCCTTTAGGCATATCTAAAATTTTACAGTTGACCAAATTTTGGACTACAAAGTGAATTGGATGCATTCTATGTGCATGTTTTGAACAGTTGACTGGGAATGTGTTTGACCCATGAAACAAAAGTGGATTCAATTATAGATTCATTAGGAAATGATTAGCTAGTTATTCTTGGAGACTAATTAGATTTGAATGCTCACTAAATTGTAATACCCATTTGACCAGAGTTGCAATAAGACTAATACGGAGTTGATTATAGACTTACCCATTTGACCAGAGTTGCAATAAGAAAGATTAATACAGAGTTGATTATAGACTACAGAGAGACTAATACCGAGTTGATTGTAGACAAATTCTCACTGCATGTGTGTGCGTGTGTGTGTGCACGCGCATGCTCGCACGAGTATGCACTTGCATGTGTGTGTTTTCAGGCTTTAAATTTACAAGCTGAATTTGGATCAGGTTAGGGCCAAAGGCATAAAAGCCCTTAGTTTCACGAAGATCTAATCATGAAGATACTAACCATGTTGCCTATTAAGTCCCTTCTCTGATTTGGGTGTGTATGCAAGTCTTGGCACAGTTTCACTTTGGAACATATTTCATATAAGAATACGATCATGGGCATTTCTCGAAATCTTGCTTTTTACCTAATAACCGTGCACTTCGAACATATATGCTGTCAAATTTCTGTCTTGGAAGAACATGTTTGAAAGCCTTTAATTTTCAACCACCTAGCTAATCATCCATGAATCCTTGGCTGGTCTCTTGTGCTTCTTAAGCTTGAAAGAAGGTGCACAATGCATTTTTTAACCCCTCATGGTTCAGCTCCCAATAGCCACCCCCTGCTACTTAATTTGTGAATTGTTGCTTGAACCATTGCTTTATGATTTCAAATCGAAGAGCCTCTCTGGCATGCTGCTTTGTCACTGGTATGGAAATGTGTGGTCCTCGACTCACACACCTTAGTGTGGTCATCTAGTGATGTTCCTCTAAGCTGTGATTTTGTGCTTCATGTGTGCAACTTATCTGTCAATGGATACTTTCACTGGACAGCTAGACTCATACATGAGTTGATCTCTACATCTTAGGCTTCCATGTTGATATCTATAGGTTTATAATGAGAAAAAAATGCATCACAATTATGAGATCTTTCTGTTGCATAGTGTGGATGCTATTTGTGTTCAGTCGCTGGCTTGAATGCTGCAGTTGAAGTACAGATTACTGGTGATTATGTCAGAAGAATGGCATAAGGAAAATAGATTTGTGAGTTTTGGAGTACTGATGGTTGATCCCAATATGGTCTGCAGAGTGGCTCTACTTGATGAAATCATGCTGATAACGAAATTGGTGAGATTTGTGTGTATTACGTAAAAGTGACAAGAATGTGAAGGTTGAGTAGAGCATGCTCCAATGGTGGGACAAACAGATGGTATTTTCCCTTATGATTATGCAGTGCTTCCTCCCAAGAGTATTGTTGGGGCGAGTTAGTTTTGCAATTTTAGCTCATGTTAGAGAAATGACAGGGCAAACTAACCTTACAATAATACCCAGTTTTCATGCCTCACATTTCTTGGATGAAGGAGATTGGTTGAGCCTAAGAGTTGAGGTGGGAGATGATATTCATCAGCATTTATTTGTTCTATTTCTTCTTTTATTTTTACTTGTGTTTTCTTTTCGCCAACTGACAATATTTATTAAAAAATAAAAAAAAAAAGTGGAAAGTTTTGAAAGGTATAAGTTTGCAGGTTAGTGTTTAATGGGTTTTGAGGTGGAGAATAAAGGACCCAAAGTAGGGGCACTGGAGTGGAAACTGAGGATTGCCAATAAGGCTTAACCATTTTCATGGTCCTTGGCAATTACCATTAGAACAATCTGTTTTCTGTTTTTAAAACCAGGCTTAGTCAAAAATAAAGATAACAGTGTTCTGTTATTATAACAACCCTGGCGGTGTCAGTCGCCATTAGATACATCCCATCTCTCTGAGAGGGGGGGAATTGCATAGCAAATGGATGAGGTATAGATTCTGAATAACTAAGTCCTGTTAATATGAACTTGAGATGTCTTTACTCTCTAGACTACCATGTAATACATTTTTTTTCAGCTAAGTTACTACATATTAATGTACTTTTTGAAGAGAAGAATTATCAACACAGAAGTATATATTGTGTAGTTTTTAACTAGTGCAATATTTATTATAGGTCCTTGCCTGTCTTCTTATCTGAACTTAATATTTACATGAGAAATTCTAAAATTGGGCATGCATCATTTCTCATGTTTGAGATTAGATGAGCGTAAAAATATATTTTCTTTAATTACTCATCAACCAGACTCTTTCCGTTGGTGAGTCTAAATATGTAAAGCCTTGCTGTTGTTCTTTCCAACACTAAGTTTGCTCCCCCCATCACAGCCCTGCTGAACCTGTTAAAACCACGACAATGGTTCCATTCAGGCTTCTACTAAACACTTTTTTGTATATTTACATGTACTTTGAACTGGTTTGGTACAAGGTTCCACAAATCACGTTCTTGGATTAAGAGCCTGGCAAACGCCTTTCTTATAAATTTTCAATTTAATAGTTGATGTAATGGTTGGGAACTTGGAAAATCATTGATTGATGGTTTGGTTAAATTGACCTGTTAAAAATAAATAAAGAAATCCAATTAAATTAAAGAGACCTCGGAACTAAAGGTTTCACCAGATAATTGATCTAACAGATGATGCTCGTTTCTACATCTTTGCCTGCTATGTTGAAGTTGATGAGTTTACAGAGATGATCAGTTTTCCATCGCATGGGTTAGCTCTTCTACAGTCGAGAGTGAAGTTCACTGATTTTTATGTTGGGTTTTCAAAGGAACCTGTTTTTGTAAGGTGTGAGAGAATTACATATACAAATCATTTGCAATCTCAATATACACAGGTCTTTAGATAATGGACGAACCCATTTTTCTATGGTCACTTGATGAGCCAACATCCACATGATTTTCGCCCTCCTTTCATAATGCAAAGCTGGTTTCCAAACTTACATATATATTCTGTCTTTTTAACATAGATGAGTTCCTAAACAATGAGTGCAAGTAAATGATTTGCAGAAAATTCACATTACAAGGGATGATAGACGTGTGTCGTACCACTACTCAAAGGCACTTTAATGTTTTTAATGGATATTGAGCAGGCGAACATAAATTTGGTGGATTCTGTATGGAGGAATGACGTGTCTCAGGCACTCAAAAAGTTGTCCATTGTTGCTATTTGAAGGCTGGCGCGTCGTGAATATTTCTACAGGTCATTTACTGCACTCATTTAACACATTTCCTTTGTAAATAGTATGGTCATGGCTTCAACCATATAGCCTTAGCCTCTTGAATCAAGCAACCACAGAATCACAAGAGCACTAAATTACATTATTAGAGCATCAACGGAAAAGTCATAGTTCAAAGAGACTGATTTGGATCAGGACTCAGCATAGCCCCATTATGAGTCAATTTTTAGATATGACTGAGTCTAATGATAATCGGCAGAACTCATTGAAACTTGTGGACTTGGTAGGAACATAAGGCAACTTGGATTGGGTGCGTCCCAAGTCAACTCGCTGCTATTTAAACTGTGGGAAAAATAATTCCTACATTAATGTTAAATGGCCATTTTGGATGGAGCATTCAAAAACCACTAACGATTTGAAAAAACGGGTAGGGGCTCGTCATTCCATCTGAATTACCCACAAAAAAAATTCATGTACTCTTCCTCATCCATTATTGAGTGAAAAATGAACGTTGTGCAGCCACTTGTTATTCATGGGTTAGCGCCAATTCTTCACCCCTAAGTTGTGAAAATTCTGCAAATACTCCTCACAAATTAAAAAGTAAAACATAAGTGCCCTTAATCCCGAATAAACCCATTTGTTGGAAGAAATACAGGACTGTCCAAATGGGACCAAAGGTTGTGGGGATAAGAAAGAAATCTTCTTACCGACTGCTATGTCACAGGTCCTCCATTCCTGAAATGCAAGTCTGTAATTTTGGGTTTGATTTGCATCTTATATAAATGCCATTTACGACTTATCATTAATAAATCAGCACAAGAATACCACACCCTTCTCTTTTTCGACTGTAAATTGTGATGGATCAACAACTAAGATGATGCATATTATATTTCAAATTGTGTGCCACAACATTTAATTCAAAATTGTAAATAAAATGGAAAAAAAATAGTGTTCTTGAACTGGAAAAATGGATCCGAGGTAAATGTTCTTTTGTATCTAGTAGATATAGTAAGTAATCTATAACTCCACAGACTAGGTCATCACCATATACCATATGTGCAAAGAATCCAAGCTATAGTTCAATGGATGAATGAACTGTAGTTTTTACCATTGCCTCAGGAGTATAGTGTTGATTCCCTTGGCTACCATGGATAGGGTGAATACGAAAGGTCTAGATTTGTGAGGGTAGATGAATCAGAAGTCTAAATTAGTGAGTACAGATGAAATCAACAGGAACACATTCTTTCCATGAATTACAAAATGAGGGGTTTGGTTTCCAGCATTCAAGTAAAATAAGGCGAGATGCAGCTCAAATATCTTTTATCAATAAAAAGAGCAAAATTTTGGGTGAAATTTCCTCCCCTGTTGTATAGATGATTCCTGATTCCTATGCAAAAACACCCATAATCATAGTACACGATAAATGCAGATGCATTGTCTGCCTTCTTTTCCCTCTTCTTCTTCTCCTTGTAGCTCAATTGTTATGCTTTTTGCCTTTCGAACTCTGAATAAACCCCCTCTTCAATATCCCTGCAGCAAAACCTTGCTTGCCGATTTTTTCCAATTCCATTCTCAATTCGAGAGGAGAACCTGTTTCTCCTCATGCATTAATGCCAAATTTGTTTCTAACTTCATCTCTTGTCTCACTTGCTCATCATGAATCTTCTTGAAATTTAGCCCAATTTCTTGGTTACCTTTCTCCTAGCCTGAACCAGCACTTTCCAGCGCTGAAGCTTCCACCTTTCTCATTTGACGTATATCCTGGTTAAGCGCTTCTTCAACTCGGTTGAACCTGTTCCACATTTGAGAGTATTCCTCTTCAATATCCTCCAATGACTTTTGTATTTCAAATTTTGTGAACATGAGCCAAAGCATCTCTTCCTGCAGTTCTTCAATATTTGCCCTTTGGTATGTTTCTCTCTCCTTCATCTCTCTTAGCATTTGGTTGTGATTCTCAGTCATGTCTTTGATCTTCTGATTCATTTTCGCATTGCACATCTCCAGATTAGATACTTTTATCACATATTGAGCCGTAATCATCTCACTTTCTTCATTTTGTTTCTCAAGTTCTTGAATCTTGGAGTAGGATTGAGAGAGAGAAGATTCAAGTTGTTTCTGATGAGAGAGAGAAGATTGAAGCCGTTTCCGAAGAGAAGCCTTCACTCCTGATAGAAACTTGAAGTATCCCTCTCCGTGATATAAATGTTGTTCCAGTTCGTTGCGCGCCCAACATGTCGCATTAAGCGTCTGCTTCATGTCAGCATTGAGCCTCTCCTTCTCCTTAATAACTCCTTTTAGGTTTTCTTCTCTTCTCTTTTGCATATCAAATGATCTCTGATAGTCTTCATTCTCTGCAACAATTTTATCAGTAAAGTAAGCTTCCAGCTGGGAATTAGCTTCTTTGAGATCTTGGCAAGACTTTTGCAAATCAAACTCGGAGGCCCTGAGTTGAACCACCACTTTCTCCAACTTGCCAATCTTTGCCCTGTGCTTTGCCCTCGTGCTGTCCATGACTTTATTTTTTCTCTCGGGCTCTTTCAGCGAACTTTGTAACCCAGATTCAATGGCCTTAAGTTGAAGAACCTCTTTGTTGAACTCTCTCATCTTAGCCTCCTGGTTCACCCTTGTATGATTGATCGATTCATTTTCTTTCTTGAGTTCCTGAATCGAACTATGCAAATGAGACTCGGTCACCCTAAGTTTAACCACCTCTTTCTTCATTTCAGCAGTCATAGTCTCCTGCTTAGCCCTTATGTGATCAATGGCTTCATTTTTTCCTTGGAGTTCTTGCATCGTGTTATGTAAATGATACTCAGTAACCAAGAGTTGAGCCACCTGTTTCACGAAGGGTTGAGCCACCTGTTTCTTCAACTCTATGACCTTAGCCTCCGCATTTGCTCTCATATAATTGATGCCTTCATTTTTAGCCTTGAGTTCTTGGATCGATTTCTTTAAACGAGACTCAGTGGACCTGAGTTCAGCCACCTCTTTCTTCAACTCGAGGATCTTGGTTTTCTGGTCAGCTCACTTCTTTAAACTGGTTCTATAGTGTTCTCTGAGTTCATTCATATCTGCCTCCTAAAAGCATGATGCTGCTCAAGCAACCTTTCATGTTTCCTCTTCATTGCAGCATTACACATCTCAGCTTCTGAGTATGAGGTATCGTGCACCTTACTCTCTTCTTTAGCTTTAGAAGTGCTCGTCTATAGATTTCTCTCTCGAAGACAACTCGATTGTCAAATCGATTGCGCTCCTCTTTGTCCAGCATCAGTGGGTCTCTCTCTTTGTTGCATTTCTTCGAACTCTTCTCGTGCTCTGAGAGCTGGGAAGAGAGGACAAGAGTGACTATGCTTAAGGAGAGCTCAGATTCAAATTTGGTTCGATCGATATGCTCTTCCATGGATTGCTCAAAGGCGGCACTCATCCTCTCCATCTCTGCATCTACCTGTTCCATCTTGGAGAGAACAATGTGGTCCTTTGAGCACTGGAGAGAAGCTACCTGTTCTCTGAGCTCCATTATCTGTTTCATGAGGTAGCTGTTGAGAAACTGTAGACTCTCCATTTTTTGCCTGATAATGGTTTTCTTCAGGGTTGGGTTTTGGGGTTTAGAGAGAGAGACGGGAATAAGTAGTCGTTAAGGGGAGGGTGCACAATCCCGCCAAGGCCAAGGCCACAAGGCCACGGCCACGGCCACGGCCACGGCCACGGCCACTCTCATTTCAATTCAAATTTTGAAACTTTTTCCAGAGAGCTGCTTCTTCCCCCGATGTTTACGTCCGGGATTTAGGCTTGAGTGTGCTCCCTAAAAAATAATATGAAAATAATAATTTTAAATGAATAAAATGACTAAAATAGATAAAATACCCCTAAAATTTGTATAGATATTTCGGTAATTTAATTTTTTAATTATTTTATATTTTTTTATGAAAAAAAAAGTTTATATAAGGTTCCAACTTTAAAATGTAAAAATAAAGATGCACCTCAAAAATCCACCGGAAAATGTTGTTTTAATGTTTAAAAGCCTCCTAATGAAGCATCTCACCATCGAGATATATGAAAATAGAAAAAAAAAAAAAAAATTCTCATAAATAGTACATCTTGCAACACATTATCTAGACCGTCCATTTTCCAGAATTTCATATATAATTAGAGATGAAAATAGATTTTAAGATAATCGTAAGAATTTTTACACCAAAATTACATGTTATGATAAAATTATTTGTTGTTGATTAGAACTTTTGAAAAATTACATGTGGAGCTCCTTTCTACCCAATGATTTCATGCTCCTGCGAGCATAATGTCGATTTACTCCCTTGGAGAATCCCAATCAAAGTATGTATGCTCTTTGACCCATATGGGTTGAGAAAAATAATTTCTCAGCATGATGCGGCCCCTAAAGCACTATGCAGTTGCATTTCAAAATAGTAGGTTCGACACATCTTCCAACATAGTAATTTACGGAAAAAATTTATATAAAGTCGACACCTCATATATTTTAACACCATTTTAGTTGACATACTTTGTTACGATTGTGTCTGAGCAATTGACACATGTCTCTAGATTAGGTTTGCTGCTAAATTGTGAGTTATATTTTATTAGGGGTGTGATATCACGGCACCATGTAATATAATAAAACTGCACTTCTAGAAAATCAAGATTGTAGCATTTATATGACCATAAATTTTACACGTGCCTCTCTTCATCTCAATAATTAATCCTAAAGAACAAAGTTTAAATTGCACTTTAAATATGCTCAAAATGAGTCCCCTCCACCAATGAATCTAATCTATTCATTTGATGAATTTCAAGGTCTAAGCTTTTATGAATTCATATTCAATTTTTTTTTCTTTTTTTGTTCTTGTTTGTCTTTAACGTAGATAAATTGATTATAATAATACCATCTAAAAATTTTTGAAAAGGGAAAAAAATTCTTTTAAGACTTAAATCTAAATATCTAACTAAAATGGATGACCCATATCAATTGAGCTAAAAAAACACTTTTTAAGATGTGTTTTTTAATTTTACCTTTCTGTGATTGATCGTTAGAATGAAAATAATATATTTTTTAAAAAATAAAATAAAGCAAATGGCTTTAACATGGTTTTACGAAGATTGCTTCATTATATTAGTATAGAACCATAGCTTGAAATCACACCCTTTTATCTTATTTTCTTTTATGTCTTGATGGTTATAAAAAAGGGGACCTATGTGCAGCGAGGTAGTTTTGATTGCAATTTGCCAAGAAAGTTGAAAGCGGTTGGAGAGAAGCCTTGGCCATTTCGATTGCAAATAGCTCAAGTGTACGGACTTGTTCCTAGGACCTGTGAAGCTCGCCTCGAACAAGCCCTAATGGAGACGCGGTGCCCTTATATCCTTTCAATAAAACTTCATCTGTATTCGAGGGCATTTTTGCCTAAAAAAACCAGTAAGTTCTGAACTTTAATTTTAACAAATAAAGGCAAGAACTTACTGTTTCAAACCGGATCTTTAACAAAAACTGTCAGTAGGAACTCCAAGTTCCAAACCGTAATTTTAACCAATAAATGGATTGGAACTTCATGTGTCGAGAGAACAACCAGGCTAAAATGAAAAAAACTGGTTTGGGAGTTGTACTTTTTGAATTAAGGGATTTTGAGGAAAAATAAAAAATAGAAAAAAGGGAGCATATACTTAAAAATTGAGAGACATTTTTTAGTATCGCAAGAGCAACGATATATTTATATTAGGAAAGCTCTATGCGATGCCTATAGGTGAAAATGAACAATATTTTTGCTTATAGGCTTGCTGTCATCCAATTTTTTTGGATGGCGGGGAAAAATCGACCCCCACATACATACTTGATCTATTGTTATCAATTTTTCACACTAAACCTCAATGACTCTACAATAGTTCTTGCAGGGTGAAAGTACTATTCACTTTGCTTATAGGCGTTGGAAAGAGTTTTTCCTTTATATTAATTTCACTTAAATAAATTTTAGATATTGAAAAGAGGGGAGAGGTAGTTGAGATGGTGCATAAGCACATAGAAAAATGTAAAAATTAAGATTGGAAGGGAACAAAGCAGACGATCGATATTGTATTTGGTATTTTAATTATGTTTTGTTATATATTAGATTTACCTGAAAGTTTGTAGGCATATGCACCACACTTAGGCACACTTAAGAAAAATATAAAAACTAATTTGAGAAAAACAAATAGGTCAACATACGCTTGAATGTTTTAGGGCTATTGTGGCCAATACATTTTTTATAATTTATTTATTTATTTTTTAGGCATTTATGAGGGAAAAAAAATGTGATAATGAAATTTGGTGGTGGATTGATGAGGTTTAGAAGACTATTAAATGATATGTTATAAGCTTTGGTATTGTAATAGACATAATAAAAACTTAGAATAATATAAATGCTAAGAAAAGTGTTAAATAAATCGTAAATAAAGCTAAACTCAGGGCATGTGATAATCTATTCAATAAATTGGGAACAATAAATGGTGAAAAATATGTCTTCAAAATAGCAAAAATGAGAGAGAGAAAAGTGTAGAGATCCGGACCATGTTAAATGCATTAAGAGTGAGGATCAAAGGATCTTGGTGAAGGATGAAGTGGTTAACAGATGGTTGAGAGTTTATTTTAAAAAATTATTAAATGATGAATACATTGGGAATATAGCATTTGAAGAAACCGTTGGCATGAATGAGGGCATAGGTGATTGATACATTCGTAGGATTAATGTATCGGAAGTGAAAGAAGCTTTAAAGATGATGAAGATAAGAAAGGCTTTAGGACCATATAGTATCCTGATAGAAATTTGGAAGTGCATGGCGGAGATCGGCATTGAGTGGCTAACCAGGCTGCTCAACAAGGTATTAAGAACAAAGAAAATGATCAGCTGAATGGAAAAAATTTATTGTGGTATATACTTAAAAAAATAAAGGAGACAGAATTATTCGTACTATCGAGAGATCAAACTTATGAACCAAATTACGAAGCTGTGGGAGAGAGTGGTTGAACAACGAATAAGGCATGAAACAATTGTATTAAAAATCAATTTGGTTTTATGCCAAGAACCCTGACCCAGGGACACCAACTGAGGTTGTTTTTCTACTTAGGCAACTGATTGAAAAATTTAGGGTAAAGAAAAAGATTTCTATGTGGTTTAATTTGTACCTGAAGATTTAATTTAGTTGGTGTTGGAAAAGAAATGAGTATCTAGATACTACATTGACTTGGTGAGAGATATGAATGAAGGGAGCGCTAACTAGTATGCAAACAACTAGTGGAGAGGCAAGTAAGTTCTCATAGATAATAAGTCTATATCATGGGTCAACATTGAGCCCATACTATTTTGTCTTAGTTATGGATGACTTAGTTAGGCACCTACACGATGAGGTATTGTGGTGTATGTTATTCGTGGTAACATAGTTTTGATTGATAAGACCTGAAACAACAACATTAACCTAAAGTTCAAACTTTGGAGAGATGCTATAGAATCTAAATGTTTTAAAATTGGCTGAATTAAGACAGAGTATATGAAATGCAAGTTTAGTAAAAATAGGAGTAGAGATGATGTAGCAGTTAATATTGATGACCAAGAAATAAAAACAACAACGCATTTCGATATCTTGAGTCGATAATCTAATAAAATAGAGAGATTGAGAAAGATGTCACACATACAATTAGATCTGGATGGGCGAAATAGACATGTACAACTAGAATTCTATGTGACCGCAACATACCAATGAAGCTAAAAGGTGAACTATATAGCATAGTTGTGAGACCAACTTTATTTTTATGGGACGAAATGTTGAGTTGTCAAGAGGATAACATAACCATTGGACGAGTGTAGTCGAGATCATGATGTTGAGATGGGTGAGTGGAAAAACAAGAATGGATAAAATTCAAAACGAATACATACGGGAGAACTTAGGTGTGATACCAATGGATGATAAGATGAGAGAAAATTGATTGAGATGAGCTGACCATATACATCACATACCCAATACAACACCTGTTAGGCAGTACAAGTTAGTTTAAGAAGAAGGGGCAGGCTCGAAATGATACGGTTGGAGTTGGGACCAAATTTGTCTTAGTATATGTCGGTCCTTGTCGAGTTCCTGTCTAAATCTCCCTTTTTATATTCTTTTTGTTTTAAGCTTATTTAATATTTTTAGATCTTGCCTGGAGCCCCACTTTGCAAATCTATATTTTAATTTTAATTTTTTTAAGATCACCTATTCGATAAACTGGAAAATGGGCCAAGACCCGACCGGGGACCTGAGGGGTCGACCCATCTAGATTCGGGCATGGATCTAAAAATTGGAACCGGCGGATCGAGTCCGGTTTCAAATCTTGGACCCAAACACTATTCGGATTCGAGTCTGACAATATTTTTGAGTCCCAATATCTTAAATATATAGATATTTTAATTTTAATTGAGTCCGGATCCAGGTCCGGATTCGATGCGGTCGGGATCCCATATCGTTTTTTAGGCACTGATAAGTTTGTAACATACTTTTCCCCACGCAGGGTGACATTGTAAAAGTCAATACTTCTCTCCTCGTGCTTAGTTTTTCAACTGCCTTTGACACTTTCCTGTCCCTAGGAAACGTCCCTGAGACTCTTTGATTCTTTACAAGAAGCGTCTTTGAGGCTCTTCGTCTCTCTTAAAAGGGGCCGTTCTCTCCCCTCTCTCTGTGAAAGCCCCATCGCCACTACTACTCCCTCTGCCTCGGTTAGCCCTCTGGTGTTGCGCGACCCAAAATCTGGTCAGTTTTTCTCTTCACTTTAGAGAGAGATATATATATATTTTTCTTGTCAAAAGTGAAATTGGGAATTTTTTTGACATGCTTAATTCGATGGAATTGAAGAAATCCTGCTTCTATCAGTTGGGGTGAAAGATTCGATTGCACCCATACTGGAATGTTACTTTGTTTTGTTTAAAATCCCCTAGATTTTTAATTGATACTGGAATGTTACTTTGTTTTGTTTAAAATCCTCTAGATTTCTAATTGATTGCAAGGAATTACTGCTGTTTTTTTAAAGGAAAGTCTATTTTACTACATGAATTTAAATTGGCTTGACAGTTAGAATGGTTTTAAAACTCGGCCGAGTAACTTAGCATCGCTCTATTGGCGAGGCGAGTTTATGACTCGTTGGTTGTACAACAATTTTAATAACTATATTTATATTTATACATCACATTTAAATCACATAAGCCATCAAGTCTCGCTTGCTCCAAATTTCTAATGGTTAGGGTTCGAATCCTTCCATTTTGTCACTTTTTTAATAGAAGCTTTAAAAGTCAGTTAACCTGTAAGATTCTCCAAATTTCGAACCATTTTGTCACGTTTTTTATAGAAGCTTGAGAACAAAAACTAATATAAACTGAATAACATTGCTTTGGTTCCAAATGGGCCTGCGGTTTGTCGGATTTCATTCTCAGTAGCTCTCTCTATCTCACAATTTGTCTTTTGTTAATCTTTTTTTCTCTCTCTAGTATACCCTAGAATTTCCTTTTTATTTTTCTTTTTATTTTTTATTTTTTTTAATTTTTTTTTTATTTTTTTTATTTCTTTTATTACAGTGGTTTCTGGTTTCTCCATATTTTTGTGATTCTTGGGAGGTTGTTTCTCTCTCTAATCTCTATCCATGCTATATCCAATTGGCCAATGTTATATTATGTGGTTTTTTCCTCTCTCATCCTTCTTGTTCTGCTGTAACCACGTTAAAAGAAATTCATTTGACAATTTCATATGAGGTAGTTCTGGTAACTCCAGCATGGCTGGTCTGGACACGGTCATTCTGGTCCTTAACACGGATAACGGAGGAGGGTTGTATTAGGTAGGTCATTCCAGTTTCGAACATGGATAAAGGAGGAGGGTTGTGTTGGGTAGGGTAGCCGGTGTAAAACTTTGCCGTATCTTTTTATAGCTGACTGGGATAAGGCTCGCATGATGATGATATGAGGTAGTTTTGATGGAAATTTTTTATTTTTATGTTGTTGAAATTTTTCCTGGAAATTTTGTTTTTTTTTTTTTTTGACTTTTTGGCCCTTTTCCATGGCTCTGGCTTGGCATAGGGGAGTCCAAGTAGCTCGGCAGGGGCTAGAGGCCGAGCTGTGTTTTCAGACATTGACTTTTTGGCCCTTTTCCATGGCTCTGGCTTGACATAGGCGAGTCCAAGTAGCTCGGCAGGGGCTAGACTAGTACCTTGGCCGAGCTGTGTTTTCAGACATTGAATGCATATGTTAAGGTGGAGGGGATGTACTATGCGCACTTGTGAAGGGAACTTTTCGACTTTACGAAGTTAGTGGGGTTTCATGGCCAATTTTCCTTCTCATGAGGGTGAAATTGGGGTGTGATTCTGTGTGCGGAGAAAATCATTGTTGGGTTTGGTTTGTTGCAGTATGCATTTTTGGGCTAAAAAACCGGACGGTTTGGCCTTGAACCGGCGAAATTTTGACAAAACCGGCCGGTTCTGTGAAAACCGGTCCGGTCTGGCGTTATATCGAGCGATATAAAGAAATAACGGTGCACAACAAATAACAGCCGTTATTTGTAACAGTGCCTGTTATTTGAGCAGAACCCGTGATCCGCGATTTTTTTCAACTTTTTGATGTTTTTTCTATCGTATTTTTGTTTTTTTTGGCCCAATAATTGAACTATACCTTCAAATCTTCTATAAATCTATCAATATTGAATCAAAAACTCCAAGATTAGATCGATTTTGGCGATTTTTGGTGCTTTTTTTTGGTGTTCTTAAGTTTTTTATGAAAAATCCGCCATTCTTTTGATTTTGGCCTGGTTTTTCAGTTTTTTTCAATAAAAAGTTGGGGATTTTAATGATCAGAGAGATACATATACTTCAAGACTCCTGATTTCATTGAAATGGAGAGATTTGTGGCTCGATTTTGAGATTGAAGCAGATAAGGTAAGCCCGAACCCAAATTTTTTTCTTAATTTTGCAGCTTTTTTAGGATTTTTCAGACAATATTTGACTAGTATTATTTATTGCAATAAATAAAAGAATGATTTTTGAACAACAAAAATTAAATTTGGAGCTCGATTTTAGGAATTTAGGGTTTTTTTGTTTTTAATGTTATATAATATATATTTATAAAAATATGTTTTTTGTGATGAATATGAGAATATATATACACAATATTTGTGTGGGATTATTGATTGCATAAAATAAATGAGCGAATTTTATAACAAAAACAAAAATTTGGAGGTCAATTTTGGGGATTTTTGGGTTTATTGAATGAAAAATAAAATTGATATTGTTTTTGTGAGGATTGTTTTTAATGTTATATAATAAATATATTTATAAAAATATGTTTTTGTGATGAATATGAGAATATATATAAACAATATTTGTGTGAGATTATTGATTGCATAAAATAAATGAACGAATTTTAGAACCAAAACAAAAATTTGGAGGTCGATTTTGGGGATTTTAGGGTTTATTGAATGAAAAAAAAAATTGATATTTTTTTGTGAGGATTGTTTTTAATGTTATATAATATATATATATATATATATATATATGTTTTTTGTGATGAATAAGAGAATATATTTATCTATATATATATATATATACAAATAAAAAAAATTAAATATTCCAAGTATTCTTTAAATTTTAGGGAGACATTTTTTATGAATGATTTGATTTTGTGGAGTAATTTTGTTTCAAAAAACATTCAGTATTCTTTAAGTGTCGGACTACCTGTTGGCTATACTTCATTATGCAATTGTGTCATAAAGCCTTAAGATTTTATATCTTTATGTATGCAGCAATTAAGATTTTATGTCTTTATGTATGCAGCAATGTTATGAAAAATGGATATATTTAGTTGTTCAACTTTAATTGTGTTTAAAGCCCATTTTTATAGAGGTTTCAATTTTGGCAGCTTATCTTATCATATCTTCAGTTTTGGCAGCATATCTTAATTTATATGAAAAGTTGTTTCAATTTTTTTTGTAAGATAAATATATGTAATATAATAGTATACACTTAATCTAAGTTTTTCTATTTTTTTCAACTTTTTTTTTAATTTTTTTGGACTTTTTTTACTCTTTTTTTTTTAAAAAAAACTACTTGACCGGTTAAAACGGTTAACCGCCCCGGTTAGTCCGGTTCCGGTTCAAATCGCTCCCAGCCTCAAAACCGGTTAACCGTTCCGGTTAGATTTGGCGAACATTGGTTTAGCCTACATTAAAGATGGGTCTTCTTCCGTTATTATTCAGCTCCCATTTCTGTTTGTGTGTGGCATGGGCTTTAATTTCACTAGGGCCAATTTGGACCAGGTTTTATGACAAGAGGCATGGATCATAATAGCCGAGAAAAACTCATGAAAATGCCATTTTTAGCTCAAGATCTCATTGTGAAGATACTAGTCAGATTGCCTATCAACTCCCTTCTTCGATTCAGATGTGTATGCAAGTCTTGGCGCAACCTCACCTTCAACCCAAATTTCATCCAAGAATACCACCTTCTACATTTGTCAAAGTATAGCTTTTTCCTGCGAGATTATGACTTCTCACAGAATTGCTATCGAAATTTTTTCGCATGGGATGATCACCCTTCCCAAATGATGCTGGAAACCTTGGATTTTCCTCCGCGAGACCTGTCTATCAAAGCCGCCTCAGCTGGTCTTTTGTGCTGCGAACTTGAGGATGAAAATCCGCAATGGTTTGTTTGCAACCCCGCAACTCGAGAAATAGTCGAGCTTCCAAGTGCTGACACTGAGTATGAAACATATACCATGGTAATGTTTGCACAACTTTCTAAGCCTTGCAATTTCAAAGTCATGCGCTTGTGTCCACATGTCCCTACTTATCCAGACTGGAATTGCCAAGTATTTGACTCTCGCTGTTGGGCTTGGACAGCGCTTAAGGATATAATCCTCGACCCTGGCTTCGTTATAGAGGATAAGTGTAGTGCTTTTGTTAATGGGGCCTTTCACTGGACAGTTTGGCATGCTGTTGAGCCAAACTTTTTTATCTTGGCCATCCATATTAATGATGACAATTCTATCGAGTTAACCGAATTACCACAACCAGTTGCTGCTGCGGCTACCATTGCAGAGAGTGAAGGTTGTCTTTCTTTAGTCAACCACTCAGTTGATACAGTCGATGTATGGGTTTTGAATGATTATCATAGCAGGGTTTGGGCCAAGAAATATGTGGTGAACTTGGGAGAATTTATAGAGGCTCCTCTGGATCAGGTCCATATAATGGCTTTCCTTGGTGAGATCTTGGTAATCGAGAAATCAGGGGAACTTTTCATGTATTATGTCAAAAGTGGAAGATTGTCAAAGGTTGCAGTTGAGAATGCCGTGGAGCATACAGGAATCAAAGTTTTCCAATATGAGAGTACTTTACTCCCTTGTAAGAATATTGTTTGATCAAATTAGTTTGGCAATTATATTATGTTTTCATGTCTGGAAAACGTTGGATTAAGTCTTAACTGCCCCTGTTACTGGTACACTATATTGAATTGCTAACCAGGATTTCCTCTCCGGTTTCTGCTGATCCCTGGGCTGCTAATCAAGAGTGAAATTGAAGAAGTCAACCCTAACGACTTTCTGAGACTGTGAACAGTGTGGGTATGTACAGATATCTACATTGTAATTCAACTGTTGACGGTGTTTCTGCGATGATGGGGGTTCCTTGATTGACACTGGGAGAACAAAATGTTGGTTCTGTTGTTGAGTTGGTTGAGCCTCGTGACTGATTGTGGTGTCTGTCTCTTTAAGAGTGCGAGATGTATCATTATAGGTATAAATGTGTTTGGCTTCACATGGATCTGTGGATGTAAAAGTTCTTCATGTTCCTTCATGGGTCAATAGTAATGTATTTGATGGGCATTAGTTGCTGTTAAAAATTGAAAATAACGGATGGGTCAAGTTTTACAAAAAAAAATATCAATCCTCACGGTTCACGGTTGTACTGATGGGTCTAACACAACAATGTGACTTAGCCCAATAAATAATAAATAAATAAATGAAAAGGCTAAAGCAATAGTGAGACTTAGCTGAAGCAAAGTAGGGCCATAGTGTGGTTTTCTGTTGAAGGAGGCCACTGTGAGCGCTTGCTTATTTGGGAGGGTTGACTCAGAATAGAGAGACTTGAAATCGAGTTGGAAGATAATTCTCCTCTCAGATTCTCGTCCCATCTCTTTGTATCTTATTTCTTTTATGCCCGTTGCTTTTGTTGCTTGTGGTATTTACAGTATTGTTAGAAGAATTTATTCTCTTTAATGATGTTCAGTTCTTGAAAAATAACTGGTGGGGTTTTGTTGGCAACTATCATTGAGAAAACCAACTTCATTCTCTTTCTATTTTATCTATCATTCTGAATTCGTTTCAAGGAACAGAGGTATATTTGTGATATTTAGGAAGCTTCATTAAGCAGTGAGTTCTAAGAGAAACCTCAACTTGTTCACCGAATCTTGGCTTGGATGGAACTACAGACGAGTAAGGTTGATTCATTCTTTGCAGAGATCAGGCGACTAATGAATAAGTTGACTGCTTGAATTTTTGAATCATATATAAATGACGTCCAAACACCACAAAATTCGGACATTGGGTTTCCAGGTACCATTGAAGCAAGATTCCAAGTTCAGATCACTTGGTTGAATTAGGTTTTTTCAGATTTGCTTGGGTCAAGCAGTTGAGCCAACAGATCACTTGGTTGAAATAGGATTTTTTCAGATTTGCTTGGGTCAAGCAGTTGAGCCATGTTCAACTGCAGCGAGCGAGCTTTACCAAATGGTATAAAATTTGTAAATTAACTTATTGTGCCTTCATTATTCATCCCTCCAAGTTTCATCTTAGACAAAAGAACATCGGTCTTTAAGATCTACACTGGAAAACTCATCTAAACGTCTTCAGTTGAGTCCTCTACTCAATTCGTGGTGACGTAAATTCATATGGCTTAGAATCAGGACATTTTGACTCGTGAGAAACATCTAGCTTGCCATTTTTCGGCTATACTTTCCTGTGAGCTTCTTCAATGCCGAAAGGGCAGCATGTCTCTGTTCTTGAACATGCTCTGACAAAAGCTTGTTTTGTCCTGCATTTGTTTTTCCTTTGAAGCTCTTCGGAATGCTTTATCGCCTTTCAGAATGCTTTGTCGTCTTTCTCACAATTCCCAAATCCAATTTCAGAGAAAGAAGGGAGCAAAATCAATCGAAAATATAAAAGATCAAACGGTCTCTATCATCTTTCTCTCTCTAAAATCTGGTCTTTGCAAATTGTCGTCTCTCAAAAAGAAAGAACTCTATTGCCATGTATTGTCCAGTTATGATTTTAAGAAGGTTTGATGAGCATGGGTCAGGGTCAGGGTCAGGGTCAGGGTTAGGGTTAGGGTTAGGGTTGGGAAAGATGTGACGGTGAGACTTGGTTTAGATAAGTCGTTTAGAGAGAGAAATCCCAAAGGGTTTGCGGGGAGGTAATGGGGAGCACTTGAAAATCGGAGAACCAAATCCCGCAAAATTTAAGTCGGCCCGGTCTTATCTTAAGTAGGTAGAATTGAGATAAGTATGTGTCTTATCTATTTAAAGGATACTATTTTGGTAAATCAAACAAGTCAAGACTTTTATCACATCCTTTAATTTCAAGTAAGTATGTCTTTATCTAAAGGACAAGCTTTCTATGCTTATATAAGCATAGAACTTATATAGTTTGCCTTATCCAACCCTCCATTCTGAATGGAGGAGGGTTAAGATTGCTCCAATCACTATTTTATTTTAAATTTTTTTTCTATAAACTATTTTGACACTAAATTTTGGACATCCAATCCTCTATTAAACTCGCACTAGCGACAAATATAAAAAAAATATTTTCAATAAAATAAAATGACCAAAATACCCTTAAAAGCTTCAAGAGGTATTTTGCTCAGTCTAGTTTTTTTTAAAATTATTGTTAATATTTTTTATAAGTGCGCCCCAATGAGAAGATGACACGTACTAAATTTTATATTCATATAATTTGTATAAAAAAAAACTAAAAATAAAATTCTTTGAGACGTCAGATCTAAGATCAAACGGTGAGTGGCTTTCTTGATCAAAATTGAACGGCTGGATGATTGGGGAAGCATAGAACTTCTATACTATAGGGGTAGTACAGAAACCTTTCTCTTATCTAAATATTAGAGGATACTATTTTGGTAAATCAAACTAGTCAAAGACTCTTATCACATCCTTTAATATTAGGTTACAATTGAAAATTATACGATAGTTATAATTTTGAAAATTATACCATTGAAAAATTTGAAAATTATTCGAGAATCTTAATATTATACGATTGAAAATTATACGATTCAAAATTGTATAGTTGTAATTGTACAATTGAAAGATAGTTATAATTTTGAAAATTATAGGATAGTTGTAATTTTGAAAATAAAATTATTAAGTTATATTGCAATTTATTTTCAGTTATTACATCTATTTTCAATATTGAAATTACAATTAATTGTGAATATATCATAATTTATCAAATATATTTAAATAATTATAAACATATAATTATACATAATAAATTACTATAATAAAAATTATAAATTTATTTATAATATAAATTATATTCTTTATATCAACTACAAATAGAATTATAATTAATTACACTTAGATTTGGTAAAGGCTACAAAATCAATGGTGGTAAGTTTATCATCTAAAACTACACTTATCACATGCTTTCCTCTTTGGCAAAGTTTAAGTGGTCGATAACGTGACTCCTCATTCTCTTTGGGTCCTCCTCTTTCTCTTATGTTTCTTTGGGTCCTCTTTCTCACTTTAGGTGAAGAAAACGACTTTAGGTGAGAAAACGGAATGACAATAAACTCATATTGCTGTATCTCATCAAAGAATACTACCTCTCTTATCCTCTCCTCATGTGACTCCTCTTTCTCTTATGTTTCCTACGGGGGTGAAGAAAACGAAATTACAGTGAACTGCTCTTTCTCATCTTGCCTTGGAAAGGCAAAGCAATACTACCGTATGTTTGTTTTACCCTTTTTTTCCTTTTTTTGGGTTTTTAGATACATTATGTTGAATCACTTCCATCAGAGATTATTGAATTGTGCTTCTTTGCTATTTTTTATGTCGTGTATGCTGTAATATTGCGTAGAGGAATTTTTGGCTACTTTCACAAAAATCATCTCTTGAATCTCAAAATTTCCATGAATTCAAAACTTATTTGTGTTGATGTTTAGTTTGATGAATTTTTATTATTTAGATTACTGAAATATGCATATTTTATTTTTTACATATTTTTCTTTTCGGTTTTGCTTTACTTAGCCTTGCTGCATCACCCCAATTATTATTATTATTTTTTAAATTTTGGAACTTACTCTAGAACTTAAATACCTTGCAAATTTACAAATATATATTAATTCTTTTCAAGGGATGTGATATATACTATTTAAAAGATCGCTTATTTCATTTGTGCATGCAACACATATAATCCAACTGGTATCTTTTGCATAAGGGAGAGAGCAATTCATTTATACTACTAAATTTGATAAGAAAATTAAAAAAAGAAAGACATAATCTATAATTTTATTGAAAATGGAAATAATGAAAATCAATATTAATAAGATAACTTACCTTACTTATTTTGTTGTGTAATAATAAGTTTTTTTTTATATTTCTTAAACGGAAAATAATCTAGAATCTCCAATTTTGATGTTTATAGTTGGTTAAAAGCATTACATTGGTCTAATTTATGAGTTTACTAAGATAAATAATTTTCTAAAAGATTCCTTAATGTCAAACGTAGGTATCTTCAAATTAAAAATACCATACAGATGAGTCATGTTCTCATTTTAATCTTTAAAGATGACACACCATAATACCCTTTAGCACAGTTAATCATTCAAACCCATGGACGCTCAGGCACACAACTGAGAGAAAGACATTTGAAAGTGAAATAGTTATTGTGATAATAATTCCATCTTTTAGAAGCAAATTTGATTGTTGTCAATTTTAGAAAGAAAGTCCATGTATTTATCTCTATGATTGATGTGCTTATCGTGAAAAGCTAAATTGCAATGAATTGTATTATATATTTAAACTTCAAAACTTATCTAGAAAGGAATTTCTTTTAAGGAAAATGTTTAGATAGGCTGCAGCCCTATCAAAGTAAGTAAATCCTCACTTGTAACTCATCGAAAATTGCAATTCAAGTATTGAAAAACCTGTTATATCGATCATCTTGGCTTGAGTATTATGGTTGTAACAAAATTAGGATCAAAAAAGAGTTACATCGATCATCTCTCCTTGAATATTATGATTGTGAAAAATTAGGATTGGAAAAGAGTTACATCGATCATCTTGGCTTGAATATTATGGTCCTGAAAAATTGGGATTGAAAAAGACTTACATTGACCATCTGGCTTAAATATTATGGTTGTAAAAGAATTTGGATTTCAAGCTCTAAAAATATTGTATATTATACTAAATTATTTATACTGTCTATTTTGCCCTAAAAATAAATGTTGATACATTTTTTTGAGTTTCAAAATTTATTGTTGGTGTTGCAAATTGAGTTTATAGCCATCATGTTGCCGAAAGTGCTATCCGGACAAGAATTTGACGTGACGCATTTTGTTTTCATAAAACCTAGGCTTTATAGAAACTTCATTCTTCATTTAAACTAGGAAAAATTACCTAAATATCCCTTATATTTTTTGTTATTACAAAAATATTTGTTATTATGTCGATGTTTGTTTCTTCAACTTCATAACACTTTTTTTTTAAAAAAGATAAAATTGCCCATATTTGGTTTTTGAAAAACCAAAATTTTTTATTTTTTCGGTTTTAAAAACCAAATCATATATATAACCCATATATATAGAAAAAGCTAATAATAGCTGGCCAACTATAATGAATAGCAATATAGGTGGAATGAGAGCCGTCAGATTTTCATCATGCGGTTTAGAATGCATATTATTATTTTAATTTTAATTATTTTTTTATAAATCGGATAATAATGAAATTTTAGACATGTGTACTAAAAATAGGGCGCACCAATATATAAAAAATATTTTCCAAAATATAAAATGATCGAAATACCCCTGAAAAATGATGGGGGTATTTTGGTCATTTTAAATTATTGAAAATATTGTTTTTAGATTTTAATATGGTGTGCAATAGTGTTAGGTATATACACCCAAAATTTCATATTAATCAGATTTATATTAAAAAAAATTAAAATTAAAATAGTGATGTGCATTTTGAACTGCATGATAAAGAGATAACGGTTTCTATTCCATTTATATACTATTCATTATAGCTGGCCAGCTTTGTAAGATTTT